GTTCTCAGCACAGGGACCCCAGCTTCAAAAGATGTGCTCTGCTCTTGACTCTTCTTCTTGACAGTAGTGGGATCTCCCCAGCCTCTGGGATTGGTCCTTCTATGAGCCTACTTCTCCTACCAAGACCACAAATTGACCAATCCCCTTGGTAGGCAACAGTTACATAATTTGCATAGTGAACTCTCCAATCTCTTGGCAAGACTGTGGCCTAGCAAATCGTCTTGGCAGAAAGGCCTGGAAAGGCCATGCCTACGTGAAGAGAAACCTGTCGCACTGCAGGGGTTGTGTTTTCATGCCCTTGTTGCTCCACAACCTCGCTTATGCTTGGTATGGCCAGTCTTTTTAATTCTAGCCATTCAAATGGCATGCTGACCAAAGCAAACCAAACTCACTGCCACCAAGTCACTGCTGACTCACAGCAACCCTACAGGGCAGAATAAAACTGCCTCACAGGGTTTCCAAATCTATAAACCTTTACTGAAACAGACTGCCTCATCTTTCTCCCACAGAGCATCTGGTGGATTTGAACCATTGACCTTTTGGTTAGCAGCCCAATGCTTTAACCACTGCACATACAGACCTCTTATTATGAGTGTGCAATAGTATTTTATTATACCTTTATTTTGCATTTTCCTGACAAGTAATGATGTTGTGAACCTTTTGTGTGCTTGCTATTTGTTTATTTTTATCTACGATGTGTCTACGTGAGTCTTTTGCCTGTTTTTGTTGAACAGTGTAGAAATGGCATTGTGACAGTGTCATCCAGCCTCCTCGTCTAACTTCACAAGTCAAGAGGAGAATCATTATTGGCATTAACAGCCGAAGGCTGATTCCTATAAAGTAGAGGTCAGACATACCTCCGCCCTCCAACATTTTACCGATTCTAACACTAGTTGTTCCTCCCACGGCACTCTCTGCTTCTCTGCTTGGTTCAATAATTTGTGACAGTGCCCACACAGAACTCACAGACAATGCTCCCAGTTATGGGGTTTGTTACGTAAGCAGCAGGTTACAATTCAGAATCAGGAATGAGTCAGCATACAGTTCTTCAGTTAGGACAGCTGCTCTGCTGTGCCCACAGGTGGGCCCCTCCCTGGCCCTCAGCTTCTTGGCTCCTTGGGCCTCTTGACCCTCATGGGTCAGCTTGGTCTCTGTCCTGCTCGGGCAAATGTTACAAAGCTCTTTACGTCCATCAGTAAGCCTTGGCTGGAAGGTGTGCAGCTCTCCAGCTCTGTGGGTTGGCAAGCCTCCCTCTGCCAACAAGTCCTTGGAGGCACCCCACTCCACCAGCAAGCCTCCTGCCTGAAGGTACTTAGCTTCCTTGCTCCATGGGCTGGGAAGGCCACCATGCCATCTCCTGCCAGTGTCCTGGTTCTAGTGTTTTCTGCTGCTGCTTCTCGCTGTCTCTTACTGTCTCAGCAAAGTGTCACAGCTCTGTCTCCTGAGTCTGGGAGCTTCTCAGGACACATTCCACTTCTAGCTCTTGCTTCTTCATAGTAGTGAGGTCCCCCTGCCTACCTCTGGGATGGCTCACTTTAAGTCTAGCAGGATAGCAAAACTGACCAGTCCCCACAGCACAGTTCCATACACCTTATTTGCATGATCCCACCCCCCACAAAGGGTTCCATGTACCTTATTTACATTATTAGCAAGCTGTTTGATCCCCTTGGTGGGCCACAAGCACCTTTCTTGCATTGTCCTACCCAGTCATTAGCCAGAAGAACTAGCAAATTCTGGAAGAAGTGCAGCCGGAATGCTCCTTGGAGGCGAGAATGGCCAGGCTTCATCTTACCTACTTTGGCCATGTTGTCAGAAGAGACCATTTCCTGGAGAAGGATGTCATGCTTGATAAGGTGGAGGGTCAGGGAAAAAGGGAAAGGCCCTCAACAAGATGGACTGATATAGTGGCTGCAACGATGGGCTCAGGTGTGGCAAGGATTGGGAGGCTGGCACAGGACCGGGCGGTGTTTCGTTCTATTACACATAGGGTTGCTATGAGTCGGAGCTGCCTCGAAGGCAGCTAACACCACACCACCACCCAGTCATTAAGGATCTCTGGTAGTGCTGTGGTTAAAGCATTTGGCTGCTAACCAGAAGGTTGGT